ATAATAATAATAATAATAATAATAATAATAATAATAATAATAATAATAATAATAATAATAAATACTAGTTCGAGTTGATCTGGTACATAAAATCCCAATTGAAGGTTTGTTGTTGTTAAGAGGTAACATAATGCCATGGTTAAGGTTTAAGAATACTTGCAACACCATGCATGGACTAGAACACTTTACAGTAATATTTAGATTAAAATAAATGTTAATAAAGTGATGAAAATCTAACATTATTAGGACTTAATGGAAGACATGCAGTCAAAATGTCTTCAGTTGAGTTTCTCTGCATTGACATAAACACATTCAGTCCAGATGGAGTTTTTCTGTCTTGCTGACAGATTTGTCTGGACATGATCCTCATGTTGGACCTGCAACGGGATTTATCACAAAATAAGTTCCACATTATCACACAAATGTGAATAAAATGCTGATCTGAGGGTGATATACCTCTGCAGGGGTTGTGGACGGAGCTGAAAGTCCTGCACAAGACCCTAACAGCCAAAGACAAATGTTTGTTACCTCCAGTAGCAACATTACAGGTACAAATGGAAAATGATTCTGGTACCAAAGCAGCAGTTTGTCTCCTCGATGATCCAGACTAAGGATCCCAGATAAACACCCAGAGCGCAGATGGTGAGGATGACGGAGGAGATGAATATTGCAACATTGGGATCGACCGTAAAAATGCTTTGAGACGTTAAATCATCTGCAAATAAATGATAAAAGGAGCATTCAGAGTACTGGATTTCTTTGTGATAAACACAGATCATGCAGAATTGTGAAATATGTACATCACTGTATGCTGCTGAACATTAACGCTACTCTGTGAATTAAAACATTGTATCTGACCGACAAAGATGAGTGAATATAACTTGTTCAAAGTTTCAACATTCAAACTAAGTCCAGTGAATTTTTGGGTGTATAAAGAATTACAATGTTGACTTTAATCAAATAAATGAATATAGCTTATTTTTTATTTATAATAAACACTTGCTTAAAATAAGTCGAGGGCCTCAAACGTTTTAAAAATGAGTTTAGTTCATTTGAAGTAATATGAGGGTATCTGACAGTTAGGAGTGGCCAGCAAGGAATCCCACAATGCATTGTGCCAACAGCAGTAGCCACTTATTAAATCACTTTTTTTATTTGTCACAAAGATTAGTTTTAAGATGTTTAAGGTGAAAGGGTAGACTCCAGAGCTTCATATGCAGTCAGTTCATCAAGAACGACAAACTAAGAGCCTAGCTCTTATTATTTGAATACTGTTTATGTAATTCCAATACACAGATTTATTAAGTTACTAAAATTTTACAAGTTAATGTTACTCTTTCAGTTAATTTAATGAAAACTTTTAAAAAAATGAGGCAATGAATTTCCATATATTTTTTAAGTAAGGAGAACTTATCCGTTTTTACAGTGTACATGCATTGTGTTGCTGCCTTACTGTGAATAATCCTGGTTCCTGTCCCCAGCATTACGTGTCCACATGCAGTCACAACACAGTGGTACATTCCAGCATCATCAGAGTCCATGTTCTTCAGGAAGAGCCTGTGGACGCACCTTTCTCCACTTCCTGCCCTCTTACAGCTGTTGGTTTTATCTCCAGATGAGTAAATTATGTCTGCAGGAGAGGCGTGAAGGTTTTTCAACCACATGACTGCGGTGTGTCCTGCTGAGCACTGACCACCCTGAACAGTACAGCTGATGGTCACTGACTCTCCTGGCTGAACTGAGCGGATCTCTGGCTGCTGGGCAACAGAGTCGCTGCTCAGCTTCAAGCCTTGGAAAACAAATGAGATTAAATGTGATGATTAGCACAACGTGGTTAATTAGAAATGAATTCTCATAGACATGAGTACCTTTAAGAAACAGAAAGGTTCCTGATCCAAACTGAACCTTATCCCGATGCATCTCTCCACAGAAGTATGTTCCAACATCGTCCCATGAAGTTGCTGATATTCTCAGGCGATTGCTGATGCCGTCAAATTCAACTGAGAAACGCTTTTGAAATTCATCAGCAACGACGCTCCGATTGTTCCGATTATCAACTGTTGCGACCGCATGCAGTCTTCTTCCTGCAGTCAGTTTGTACCACACTGTTTTCAGAGCTGTGCTCTTCATGTTGCATTCGATGGCGGCCGACTCTCTGAGCTTCAGCGTCTGAACAGAAACGGGCTGAGAGATTTCACTGAACTCTGCTTCACCTGAAAGTTAACACATTTTATCAGCTTTCTGTTTGAAGACAGAAAGGAAGAAAGGTTGAACATGAAAAGATGAATTACTCACACAATGAGAAGAGCAGCAGCACCTTCAGAAAGAACACAGCCATCTTTGGTGCTTCTTCTTCTTCCTCAAAGTAGTTCAGAGCTCCCAACATGGCCGACCGTTCCACAGATTTATCAGTTTGTACCGGCATTGAGCCACGTCTCTCGAGTCTCATTGGTGACTTAGTTCCCTCCCACTCATGACTTAAAAACAAGGAGGAAAATTATTCTTCTGCCTTGTTACAAGCACTTATTTAGTAAAACCAGGTGTCAGTTCACCAACAATGTAACAGCGTTGCCACAACCTGCCAGCCTAATGTCGACTGTTGTCACAGCAACGCACTGAAAAACTTTGAAGCAACTTTTAAAAAGGAGATTTTACATTGGTGGATGTTAATGGTTTCACTTTGCCACAAAAAACTGATTTGTTTTAAATGTAATCACTAGTTTTAGCTTCAACATCACATCATCATTTCAAATGATCACAAGTCAAGTTTGAAATTCACTTCCTCTTCTTCTTTACTCTCCCTCTACAATTCATTTAGTGACCATGCAACATTTTAAACTTTTTTACTTCCTTTCTGTTTGTTTTTGGCGCATCTGTAGCAGGAACTGTTCACAATTCATAATATTTTTTAAGTGATCAGTCGACTTCTGTGAACATAGGTTATGTTAAGAGAACAGAGTTGATTGGCTGAGAGGCAGGGGGCGCCGTGGATACAGTGTGATCATGGGGAGAACATGCAAACTCCATGCAGACAGGCTGGGATTCAAACACAGGACCTGCTTGCTGCTTGGCAACAGTGGCACCAGCTGCTCCTCCATGCAGCCTACAGCCAATCACAGCCCTGCTTTTCCAAAGCCAAGGAGATCAAACTGTATTTAGCAAGTCAACAGTTATAAAATGACAAGGAAAACCTTCCTGAATGAGTTGTGTTCTCCTAACATATTTATGATTTTACTGGGTGGTTAAACAGCTTCAGTTGGTCAGTACTCATAACCAACTGTTGGATATCACCTTCCTTAAAGACAACTAGACAAGTCAGATACCGAATCGTGATTTAAATGAATTCTCAGATTAAGCTTCTTACCAAATCCCAGTGCATGTTTTTCCACCCCATCACACCTGAATCTTTCTAGATTTTGAAAAGACTTACAGTTTCCACCAACACATTGGCTCCAGCAGATTTTAGTTTCCTAACTGAAAGTCTGGGAATCAACAACCTTTACAAGTTCACGTTCTGAGTGATCACAAACTAAACAACTGACTTATAAACAAACTAAGACCAACTGAACGAATCAGGCCCTCGTGAAAGGGTGGGCGGTAAATAAACATACTAATAGGTGGTGACAATTAGTCTGGTAGAAAGCAGAACCTTGTTCTACAAGGATGTGGGCTCTCAGCTGCTGAGAAATGATTGCTTCCTGGAGACATTGTTGAGGTTTTATATGTTATTCAGTTGCTAATGTTTCCTTGTGACACACATAATGCACCAGTCTGATGCCAAGAACCTTAGCGTCAGAAAGTTGGGGTGTGGGGGGAGATGTGTGTTGTTGTGATGATGTATTACTGTTGACATTCAGATCCTTCGCTCATGTTGGCCCCCACAAGATGCCCCCCTGGCATCCACTGAGTCTAACTATACGCTTTATGAAGAGGAAAGTTTGTGCCAAGTTTTTCCATGATGTTTTTTTTTTTCCTGTTTAGGACGGTTCCATTTTGACATAACATTAGAAACAAGACATTTATACTGTGACAGTTAATATTATGATCCCTGATCGATTCAAAATAACCAAGCAAACATTTACTGGTATAACATGTTTATTGGATTCATATACAGTAAATCAGGTAAGTTGGTGAAGTCACAGCATAAAACAAAAGCCTAGTCTCTGTCAATTCTATTGTTTTGACGCATAAATGAGCCGGTGTTTAACAGGCTCAGATTTTTTAAAAATCTAATAAACGTTATGAAACACTGTATAAAAAAGATAACGAAAAAATGGAAAGGTTTGAGAAAAAACATGAGTAAACCCTAGATGTTTACAAAATAGATCAATTCATAGAATTTAAAGGGGATGTTCTCTGTTTGTATTAATGTCTGACCAACAACAACAAGTGCAAACTCATTGTAAGACCTGCTCCTAAACCTACCAAATGAAGTATATTTTCTCCAGCCTATGCTGGAGGTAATCTCATTCTCAGTTGCTGCTCATTTTTCTTCTGGACCTGCTGAGCCGGTTTACATCTACAGATGAATAATGGAGGCTGTCTGTAGGTTGGCTGGTGCCCTGGAAACAACAAATAAACAACCAAATATGAGCCGAGAGGGAAAAATAACTTATTTAATCTGTTTTTAAAAGGTTCTCAGAAATTATATACAATCTAATTATAGATTATAAAGATATATCTCACCTGTTCTGTTGTGGTGTTTGTAGTTGGATCTGGAATTCTTGGCTCTAGTTTTCAAAAAAAATTAAAAAATATGTGTCACTTGCATACGTTTTATTGAAAACAAGGAACAATGCTCTTTTTTTTTAAATGTACCTGCAGCTTGGTTGGTGTGTTTATTTTTCATCCTGTACACTACGATAATGATTAAAACAAGGAAGAGACCAGCCAACAATCCAGTCACAAAATGCACCAAGAATTTTCCCTCACCTGCAGAGAGCCCACAGTCAGAAACATGTCTTCATTTCTTAAACAGAAACTCATTGAGAGATCTACTTACTCATGAGTGTCAGTCTGGTTCCGTTTCCAAACACGATCTGCCCACAGAAACGAACGACACAATAGTAGGTCCCAGCATCTGACACAGTCAGGTCCTTAAGAGGCAGGCTGTACACACATGTGTGTGTTGGTGTGTTGGGATTTCTCTCACATCGGTCTCTCTTGCCTCCATGTGTGTAAATGAGTCCTGGGTGGGATTCTTCAGACTTCCTGAACCAGTAAATGCTTTGTTCTCCACCACAGCTCCCAGTTTGTACTGAACAGTTCAGAGTCACGGCGTCTCCTGGCCGAACACTCTCAGGTTCTGATTGAAGAACCGAAGGTCGGATGTCAGAATCTGGATCTTTAATAATGACTGTTGCACCTTCTGAAAAGCTCACAATGTGTGCGTAGGTGAATGCGCAGTAGTAAGTGGCTGAATCTGACATTTTAAGGTTAGAAATGATCAGGTTTGTTGTTCGGTTTTTTCTAATCAGGGTAAATCTGGAATTGTTCTGGAATTCTCCATAGAAAATGTTTTCCGGACTATACACAAAGAAACTAGAGATGAGTTTTGGATTCTGTCCCAGAGTTTGTTTGTACCAGCAGATCCACGCTGACTCATCGCCTTCATAGGAACAACGTAAGGTCACCTCACCGCCAACAGGAGCCGATATAAAGCTGCTCTTTAGATGAACAGGAGAAGACGTCAGAACAGACAGTGGAGCTGAAAGGATAGCAGAATAAAATTCTGTTGAACAAAATTCTCTGGAACCATTCTGTAAAGAATTGGCACAAAATGTATAAAATCCAGAAAAAGAAATAAAAATCTCACCCATTTGTCCCAGAAGTAAACATGTGAGACAGAAGACCAGAGGTTCAGAAGTCATTGTGTCTGATTAACGGTTCGAATGAAAGGAAGGTTGAACTTTTTTCCACTTTTAAGAGACATGACTGTACAGGATTGGCTAGCATCAAGTGACACAACAGTCCTACTAAGGAAACATGCGAACTGTGGTGTAAACTTCTGTACTTCTAACAGTTAGCACAATGACTTGCTGGAAACAATTATTTTTGTCATTTTGCTTTGTTGAGACCAAACTGTACTCAGCACTTTTGTTGTGATGTGATGACAGAAGGACAAATAAACTATATAATGAAATGTAACTTTTATATGTTTCCTTATGTTTTAATGGATCTAAGTACATAAACAATGTACTTAACAATGATAATAATTTAGAATTGCTTTTCGCTATTATTTCACTGGCAGAAAAGACACTCATGCAGGCTTCCACTGACTCATTGTATTTGGGGGACCTTTGTGGGAGTGTAACCACAGCTACATCCTGTGCAGCTCTGACATTGGTGCCAGTAAAGGGAGCTGACCCAAAAATCTGTGTGAATTGATGCATTTCAGAAAATGGCTACAAACACAAAGCTGTGAGTTTCAGAACTGTGACAGGGAACACTGGTTATCTGTGTCTTTCAGACATTCCTGTGATTTTGAAGACCTCCTAAAGTCACTGCTAGGAAATATCAGTTCGTCGGTTCTGAGATGCGGTGAAGTGATGTCCTCCTCTAGATAAGCCTTCAAATGCTACACTGACCTGCTTAGTCTTAGCAACTACAACCACAGCAGAGCTGGAAACTTTTAATTATTCGTAAAGTTGTGAAAATGAGTACAAGACATTATTTATTTACAATTGAAGTTCAAATTAGTCTGTTACAATGTGATTTTGTTTTGATAATAGCCATAAATCAATCTTAGCCACATTAGCTAAGCTAAAGCTTCTGGCACAAGAACGAATGAAAATGAAATCCAATCAGATTTCATTTGGTCCCTCTCAGAATGAGTCAACTGGAGTTAATGCACTAACTCACGTAAACCAAGTGAATAAAAATATATTACACTTTTTGTATATATATACTCAGAGTGATATGATTATCTTTGAGTAGTTTACACTTAATGTGTCACTATATTTAAGTTTTATTACTTTAAAGTTTGTTTGTTTGTTTTTTTACTTTTTTTATTTTGTAGGTCATATATGTTGGGGATGTAATGAAAACTTCTGATTTGCAAGTAAAGATACAGATTTATAATCTGGTTGACAATTGAATATTTTTTTATTGTTTTTGGGGGGTGGGTTTTGGTCCACCGTGTAAAACGTCTGGGATGTTTTATCTGTACAGGCATCTTTTACTGTAGCAGACAGAAGTAATCCCTGACGGCTTCTTGAAAAGGTAAATAAATCCTCAAATAGAGGAAAAGCTGCTGTACACCACATCAATCATCCTCATCAGATGATTTAGCCAGTCAACTGACTGCGGCACAAAAGCTAACGACTGTTTTAGCTGAGACAACGCAAACTGAGAAAATTCACATTAAATGGATGCTAGCGCATATTAACAGTCCACAATTTCACAACTGACAATTCTTATGTTTGTTACTGTTTTGTCCATATGGAGCTGGAGCTGGTCTCTGTTTCCATGTGGAATTAAACTTCGTGGAACCTGTCGACTGAATAGACTTACTAGATCAGCTATAACTCATCAAGAGTGGAGGAAACCTCTGGAGTTTGTGTCTGATTGTTAACACAGCAGATGTAGGAGAGCCACATCCTCTCCTACAAGAGCAGAGGATGTGGCTGGTTTAAGAGTAGACCAGGGGTTGATGTGAATAACAGCCAGCAGAGTGATAACTCGCTGTGTGTGAGCAAAGGCCACAGGCAGAGACAGAGGCTGAAGCCAGCAGTAACCCCTGACCTCTGATAGAGGTTGTAAGCTACAACTACCAAAAGTCATGACTTCTTAAATTGAGAGAATTCAATGAAGCATGTATACTCAGAGAGATGGAGGAGCAGCTAAATAAACTGCATTTAATATAAGATTCACATATCAGCATCATCTTTGGCAGAATCCTGAAACAACTGGTCCTGATTCTTGGGTCTGTCAATCACCTTGGCCGACATTGACCAGAGTTGGTGCAGTTCGGTACCATATTTGACCTGTTTTCATTGTAAAAGTGGCCCATCCAACCAACCTGCACCGCACCACACCAGGGCCCAATCAGTCCATGGGGCATCACAGAGTATGATCCATTGATTGGGGGACAGAAGTACGTCAATGCTTGTGCATCACGCTTGCTGTCGCACTATTATGACACAGCGTTAGGTATTTGGGTTTAACCCCACCGCCCAGTGAGAGTCCACCTAGTGGTGGAAACGCTCTCCTGAATATGCCAGACCATCAGATAGAATACAGAACCATGGAAGTATTACAATATTATATCTCAGGTTCAATAAAAAAGAAAAATCAACCATCTTTCACTATCGATATGAGATTTAAAGGTGATTTTATAAATTCACTATACTGACTCTTCAACAAGGGCTGATTGTTCAAGTAGAGTGACGTAAGAATTCATGCAGAGCTACAATTATACACATGCTGGAAAAGAAAAGACCAAACATCCTCTGAAAAAATATTTTTACATAAAACAAAAACAAAACACTTTGTTCTGTATCCAAGAGAAAAAACTAGCAAAAGTAAATCTTGTCAAAAGAATACTTGGCGGGGTTCTGTGGTGGTGCAGGAGTTAAGCACAGACCACACATGGAGACTTCAGGCTTCAGCGTGGATGTCATAGGTTCAAGTCTCGGCCTGATGACCTTCCCCCCCTGTCATATCCCACCTTCCTGTCAATTCACTATCAAATTAAGGCTCCAATTACTAAAAAAAAGAATACATGCTAGTGGATTTAATGCATCAAGAGTCAATCAAGAAAAACCACACCAAACAAAACTTAGGTCCTTTAGTGTTTGCAGCAAGATGCTGCATATCTTCCAATACATCGTTAACTGGTAGATTTTAAAAAGCTGAACAAAGAAGCCTAATTCTGTTCTGTTCTGACTGTTCAAAATGATGCTTCATAAAATGAAAACAATAATGAACAACACTGATGATCGGTGAATATCCACAGACAGAGGCTTCTTCAGATTTGCTGCAACACAGTTTTCTTTCTTGCCAACAGTCATCATCATCTATAAGAACTCTTTGAAGAAATGAATTTACTAAAACATTTAAATTTTCCTCAGGAATATTATGGTATTTTTGTTTGAACAGCATTAACCTGAATTCAAAGTTGGCAACTAAGCAAATTATCATAATCTACGCACTGTAAAAACTGGCATCTAATCGATCAAACACACACAATTTAGTCATTTTAAGAAGTTTAACAATTTAAATAAGTTTATTCTGTGAAATGTAAAAAAAAAAAACACAGAAGTATTCTTTAGTCTTTGACCCGAAACAGTCTCTGAGCTGTGCTTCAGTTCTCCAGGCAGCTTTAGGAGAGTGAACTGAACCGTCTTCAGTTCAGAGTGTGTGTCATAGCTGAGTACACACACTCAGACTCTGTGCTCTTCCTGTGTCTCCTTGGTCTGCTGAGCTGGTTAACATTTACAGCAGCATAATGGAGGTCGCCTGCGACTCGATGTACCTGGTAACAGAACACTCCTGAAATTAGTTTTTTTTTTTTTTCAAATTTCACAATGAGACAATTAATAGTTTGTGAAATATAAGAGATGAGATGCGGTACCTCAGTGCTTGTTGCTGGATGACATGAAAGTCTTCCGTTAAACTCTGTGACAGGCAAAAGGCAAAAGGCATCTTTAGTATAAACAAAAAAAATTAAATATATATATATATATATATATATATATATATATATATATATATATATATATATATATAATATATGCATGTAAACTGTTTTGTTTTTCTGTCACATTTACACATTTTAGATAATCAAAATTTAATATCAAATGTAGAATTTATAAATACCAAAAGCAGTTTTTAAATTATAATTTTGATTATTGATAGAAAGATGCCATCCAAACCAACCAAGCACAATGTGAATGGCCTCATCGCCACACCCAGTTCTGATCACTGTCAGACGTGACTTACTGTGGCTTCCAAAAGTATTCACACCCCTTGAACTTTTACAACCACAAATAGAAAATATATTTATTTGGGATCTTATGTGAAAGACCAACACAAAGTAGTAAAATAATTGTGGAAGTGGAAAGAAAATTACACGTGATTCAAAACACTTTTTGATAAATTGAAAAGCCTGGATGACTTAATAGAAACATGAATTCTGCTCTCCAACAGAAAATACTGAAGAAGAAGAATCTGTAATCCTTCTGGGTTACAAGTCAGAACCATATTTAAAAGGACACCGCTGAATGTTTGGCTCTGCCAGATATTGCAAATGTCTGATAGCAGTTGCTGTCACTCAACACGGTACAACCAGATATCAGGCTTAACACCAGGTTGGTTTGGAGGGCATTTTCCTAAATAAATGAAATTATAATTTAAAATCCGCCTGTCAAGACTTTAGAATTTTTGGATGATTTACAAGGCGCAAGTGTTACAAAACAAAAATAAAATCTGTAATGGGGAAAATCATTTTTAACAAAAATAACCTGAAGTTTGGCAGCTGTTCCTCTTGTGCATCTTGTGCAGTGTGAAGGCCAGTAAAACACTCAGGATGATGGTGAAAATCAAAGCTGCACTTAAGAAATAAACCAAGGACAAAGAGACGGCCTCACCTGCAAACCCGGACAAACCCACACAGACAGAAAGCTTTAGGTTTTAGACAGTTTTCCTACTAGCAAACAAAAACGTCTCTGAAATGACACGACTCACCTTCCACATCCAGCTTTGTCCCGTTTCCAAACAGAACTTGTCCACATGAAATAACAGCACAGTAATAAGTCCCAGCATGAGACTTATTCAGGTTCCTTATAGGCAGATCGTACATGCAGGTGTGTGTTTGTGTGTTAGGACTTTTCCCACACTGATCGCTGCTTCCTCCGTGGGTGTAAATGAGTCCTGGATGAGATTCTCCAGAGTGTCTAAACCAGTAAACACTGTGTTCTCCACCACAGCTCCCAGTTTGAACTGTACAGTTCAGAGTCACAGAGCTTCCCATCTGGACGGTTCCAGATTCAGACTGACGGATCCAACTTGTATTTTCCAGAACCGGATTCTTCACGCTGACTGTGACACCCTCCCCAAACTCAAACACAAATGAAATGCCACTTGCACAAAAGTAAGTTCCTGTGTCTGATGGTTTTAAGTGAAAAATATTTAACTGACTTTTCCCATCGTTGGTTTTCACAGTGAATCGTGGGTTGTCCTGGAACTCGTCATGAAACTCGCCACTTTTATCAAATTTATAACTGATAGAGATAATCTGTAGCTTCTGTCCCAGAGATTGCTTGTACCAGTAATACCTCGCAGCTTCAGTCCCATAAGAACAATGCAGAGTCACGTTGCTGCCAACTTCAGCTGACATAAAGCTCCTCTGTTGATGAACAGATGATTTTCCCAAATAATTCAGCTCAACTGAACAGAAAATGTAAAAAATAAAATGACCAAAATTTACATTTCACAAAAGATAGAAATGTTTGAAGTAGGACAAACTAGAAAGTTAAAATGACCGATCTCATAAAACACTACTCACCCTTTCTCCATAAGAGGACGACCAAGAGACAGAAAACGGAGCCTGAAGGTGTCATCCTGCTGAAATGGACGTGTTGAATGAAAAGCACCTTGATGCTTACTGAACTCCACAGAGACAAGGCTGTGCTGATTGGTCTCATGATCTCATGATCACAGCTGCCTATAGTGTCACTTTAGGTCTTAAAGAAGACAAACATGGAGAGAACAAAGCTGAAGACCTGACAGGATCCTTCTGACCAAAATCACAAAGAAGCGCCTGCTTCAGTCAGACACATCAAAGCTCACCTTGCTTTGCTTAATGTACATGACAAGAACTTTTGCAGATACAATAAAACCCCATCTTTGTCACAAAACAGAGCAGCAACTATCATTCATCAGTATTAGCTCTACAAGCTAGTAAACAAGATCAAATAAGGAGCATGGTATACTTAAAGCACCAAATGTTTTTTTATTATTATTATTCAGAAATTTCAGATAACAGTCTGCAAAAATTTTACTCAAGTAAGACCAGCACTGTTACTGTTATTTTTACTCAAGTAAAAGTAAATAGTTGCCCACCAAATGACTCAAGTAAGAGTAAAAATGTATTTGGTAAAAAGGCTATTCAAGTACAAAACAAGTGATCAATCATCAATCATTTAATATTTAAAAATTACATAATCAAGATGGACAAAAATATAAAGTTAAGTGGAAAATAAAGTTAAGGACCAAACAGACAATAATTCATATAACTAACAAAATATAACAAAATCAGGCAAAATAATTTTTTTTTCCAAATCAGTTTCTTTCAATATAAAACTTTTATGTGAAACTAACTGTGTGTGTCTTTGTCTGGTGAATCTTTGGTTAAAACATATTTGTTTTTCATTCAGTGGGTAGAGAATCCAGAAGTTTTACTCAAGTAGAAATACGTCATATTTAAATTACTCAAGTAAAAGTTAAAAACACAGAGAAGTAAAAATACTCCTACAAGTATTTTATTTTATTTTACTTTTTCAAAAAAGTTACTTAAGAAAATGTAACTGAGTAATTGTAACTAGTTACTACCCAAATCTGGTCCCATTTATGCTGAGACACTGTGGTCATTCAAAAAAAAAAAAAGAAAAAAAAATGCTGTTCCTGGATTGGCTGCTTTGTTAAACATCATCCAATAGCATGTCATGTAGCATTGTACCACTTGAGTATCAGTATGCCACGCTGTATTTTCTTTTCTTTTGAATATTTTTGATATTCAAAAGAAATACTCAAAACATCTGTGGCCAGTCTGCCATGGATATTTTGGACATGTTGAAATAATTTGGAGTCATATTTCAATGAAATATTAACTAAAATTGAGCTGTGAAAAGGCAGAGGTTCCCTCTAGTTACTTGTTCTCCACCACACTTTCTTACCTACAAAGATTCAGTGGGATGAGTGATGGAACTTAGCGATAGATAGCATATATATTGCAGATATGCCTCACTGCTTTGGAATTTATATGAGTGTATCCAAATGTTGTGGCATAACTTCGGTATTATTCTAGATGGTCAGATAGTCTCTACATAGTGAGGTTACTCTCACAGTGTATATTTTACACCATTTATCCCTATAAATGGTAAAGTGCATGTCCACTGCACAAAATGAAAACAAAACTCTCCAGTCAAGCTTTCTGTGGTAACTTTATTTTAATAACACCTGTATCCTAATCTGCTGATAGTCAACAAGTCAATGAGAACATGATGATTGATTTTCTTTATACTGGTTCAGTAAAGATGAAAGAATCTGACTGAAGAGGCAAAAAATGCCTTTAGGTTACAGTATGTAGTTATATAAACCACTTGTTTATTTAACTACATAACATAATATTGTAAAAAAGATATATATGTATATTATTAAAGCCAGAATATTATATCAGCAAACCATTTTGTTTTTCTACAGCAGCGTTGGCCTTTAAGTATACAGGATACAATATAGATCATAAGACTTCCTGAGAGAAACCAAAGAAGACACAAAGAAGAGCCGAGCCGAGTGACAAACCCTGATCAAAGCACGCTGCGATCGATTCAGTTGATAACAGACCACAGGGGAAGCTGTGAACAGATTCTTACATCGCCGGGTTAGCATTAAGCTAAATGTTAGCTTAATCTTTCCTAGGTCAGATTTGTGTACAGACTGTTGAATGTAGACAAAAGCAACCGTCATCTGAAGGTGATGTAGTCATAAGCAGTTAAATCCGAAATTTTTTATTTCGATTTACAGTTATTGTAATCAAATGAGACATTAGTTTCTGCAAATAATAAAACAATGTGAATAAAATCTTTGCTTTTTTATTACAAATATCATGTAATAAAACAATTTAATCATTGGTTTTATGTACAATAAAACCATGTAATGTTGGCATTACAAATGTAAAAAAACTATGGAAAACTCCTTTTTGACATTACAGCATTCTTTCTCTTTTTACAATGGCTGACCAGGTTTTCTGGCTTGTTTTCACTGGTATTTAAAGATTTTTCTTTGTTGGTGAGTTCTGATTCTTTAAGGTTGGAAAACTTTACCCTCACTGAAAAATTTAGATTCTCTACCAGATTGACTAGATTATTTCTAATCCAAAATAACAAGTTGGTAAAAGTAAAAAGAAAAAGATTTACACCTAAATTTGCCAATAGATCATTTTAGGGTTAGTTGCATTATCTTAATAATTTTACAGCATTTAATCATTGAAGGAAGTATTGGTGTATAACAGCTGTATGCAGTTGTTCATTCTTAGTTTTTGATGGCATCTGTGTTGCACTTTAAAGCTCTAGTGATAAAAATAGAATCACACTCAGACTTCCTGTTAGTACCATTCTGAATGCACGTGTTTAAGAAAAAGATGTGCTGAATGCCCATTTTTACACTGTTAACCACAGACAGACAGCAGGGCTTTGAGACTGTTGTGTAAAAGCAACACCACCAGAATAGACGGTTTCTGAAATCTAGCACACCTCATAATTTCACCTCAATACGAATTTGCTTGTGTCAAGTAAATATTTTACATGTTATTTCTGGTGGGTCTTCTTGTCAATGTGACACTGCATCTGAAATCTTAAAAGACAAAAATTATCAATAGCAGGAACAATAACTTAGCAAATTACCAATACCAACCTTCGTGGTTGGTTTGTTTTCTCAGTTTTCCAAGATAGTAAAGTTAGTCTGACTCTGGCACACATAATGAACAGACGCAGTTTACTTAGAAATGTTGTTACATTATCAACTTTTCAATGCAAGATTTTCGTTTCTGTGACTGTTCACAACCCGTATTTGCTGTCATACGGAAACTCAGATTCCACAAGTCTCCTCTCCAACAGACCAGAAGTATCAGAATTTGTCAAATGTCGAATTTCTTCCAGATAATTCTCTCTTAGATTCTTTTATTTGAGTCTTATCAAATGGGAAGCAGTTTATATTTTTGTGAATAGTATTCCTCAGAAGCTTTGATTTTTTTTTTTTTTTTTACCTCAATATTCTAAATATAATCTGTCTTCTGACACACAACCCAGCATGTTGGTTCTTGAAAGATGGATGTTTGGTTATGGGTTGTACATTTTGAACAAATGTTCTTTCCTTTACATAGACATTTTGATTTTAGAATTCACTGTAGTGTAGTTGTCTTTTAGTGGCTTTTTAAACAAGCCTGGGTTGTTTTAGCTCATTTTGAACTACTAGAGATGCTAAAACAGAAATAAACATTAAGCATGCACATAAATTTGGACAGTGGATGTCCTATGTATATAAAGTGTCCATTTTTCTCCCTGTCTCATACCTCCAGTATTATTCCTCATCACTTGGTTTTATGTACAAAGCATAGCCAGCGAAATCAAAAGTGAAGCAGGAGTCTTCTTGGGGGCTGACGTGGGGCTTCCTGTGTTCGAGTTTCCATCAGTGGAAACTTCTGCTGTTTAGGTCATACCACCTTCACCACAGCAGTGGAGGGACACCATTATACACTAAAAGGTGTAATCTGCTGGGCTAAAGATGATTGCAATAATCTTCAGTGTCTGTATTTGTTTCCATAGTCATCCTTAGTAAGACTCATATACTTATACATATATACACACATGAACAAAATTGCTGCTACTCCTCAGTTAATAACTGAAAAGCTCACAATGATCAGTGAAACAAACATGGTTGCACATAATCATTTTAAAAATAAACTAATGACAAACATGAGGGTACCTCTAGAATCAATTGAAAATAATTCAAAAATAGGGGCCTGTTAAACTAATGTGTGTCCTCTCATTAGCATTACAGTCTGCCTAGTTAATGGGTGACAAGTAGTCACTGTGCTGTTTGGTGACATCATGTTTACCACACTGAACACAGACCACAGGAAGCCAAGGAAAGAGTTGAGCCAAGAGATTAGGAAGAACATTGTGCATCTCCTGTGACAACAGTTGTCCATATGACTGACATGTTTAAGGTCCACAGAACTGTGGCCAACCTCTATGGTTGCAGGAGGAAGATTGATAACAAATTAAAGAGAAGCATGATTCGAATGGTAACTGAAGAGCCCAGAACAACTTCCAAAGAAATGAAAGGTGAACTCCAAAGTCAAGGAACATGAGTACCAGATGGCAGCATTCATCACTGTTAGTAAGAGTGGACTTCATCGGAGACTACCAAGGAGGAAAGCAAAGTATACAAAGGTGAGAGTAGAATTGGCCACAATGCACAGTGACAAAGTCCCTTGTATGTTTTGCTCTTTACCAAGAACCAATGATCCTTTAGATGCTTGGCAAAGGTAACCTTAAGAGTGGATGGCGCCACAACGGACAATATGAAGGAGAAGGTTGGAGACCAAAATCAAGACAATAGGGAAAGAGGTAATTGTCAGAATTCCAGAAAGGTGCATCCAGACATGCAAACAAATGGCACATAACCTGTTTCTCCACAGCATGGAAGCTCCTGTCAGGCATCACTCCTTGGACTTCCGTCCATCTGAGGACTTTGTATTGACTTCCATTCACCTTAGTAACTGCATTTATGCGGAATCCAAACATTTTCCCCTAACCCTGATCATTACCAATCTATTCCAAACTCTAACCTTAACCAAAAAGTAATTCACACCATACCTCTGATTAGCAGAGCTCAGTGCAACTTCAAAACAAATAGAGGACTAGTAAAATGTGCTCATTTTCCACAAATGACCTCCCTTTATTGGTGAAAATGGTGAAAGTGATTCTCTATATGCAGTATACACAAGTATATGCTGTGTGTGTAATGATGTGAAATGTGATGTTAAGAAACAACATTCTTGGGCCACTTCTGTTCTTTGACCTCTGTGGTCTGAATGTACAGGCTGTGGTAAGTATGCTAAAGTTGTTGACTAAGTGTAGACGAAGCTTAAGAGGCAAACAGTTTTCTCACCTAAACCCAAACTTCCTGAGTTTTGCAAAGAGACAACAGGTACAGACCCACATCAGTGTTTCTCGGAAAAAGTCAAGTCTAAAATGTGAAATTAACCCTATCATTCTTTGGCTGTGTTTTTTTTTTTCTACATAGTGGCAGCTATGCAAACTTCTTGGAGAAAGATCCCTGGTCAGGATTTGAACACACAACATTCTTGCTGCAAGGCAATGGCACTAACAATTCCCTACTGTGTAACCCTGATGGGGAGAAGAAGGTGATTTAGTTTAATTAAAAGCATAGATGCAGAAAGAAAAAAGTATCTTAACCGTGTCAAGAAGCTCATACTACGCTTGTACAAATATCTATCAGCAGTACCAGTGATTCTCACTGGTCTTTTAGGGTTATGTGAAGACAGAAGTACAAGTCAGAGTTGTTGGCGTAAAGCAGCAAAGCAGCAGGAACAAATAAGTTGCATCAAAGCTACGACCACGTATACATCCTGTCAGGACGGAGGAGAGGTGGAGCCGACAAAACCACTGAGGCTGTGGTCGATGTGAAAGGCCTGGACCGTAGCGGGAGCACAGCAAAGACAAATGCTTTTCTGGTTTCTGTTTTTGTAAACCACCTGTAACACTCAAATGACATTGCTCTCTTCTTGAGGCGACAAGTTTAAAGTTGAGGAAAGTATGTGAGCTTCAAAGCTCTGAACAAGATGCCATTTTATGAAACTTAAACCCCTTTTTTGTCACTTGATCACAGTGTCCTTTTTGTAAATTCTATGTTTTAAAACAACAGTTATCTGTGTGCATTATTTATTTTAAAATACAATGTTGGTGCAAACTTCTTAGTCGGGTGGCCAAACCTATGCGATGTAGGATCACTTCATCCAGTAGCGTTCTGATCACTAAATGTTTGCCAGAGTGAATTCTCCAAAAAGCTGGTGAAATGCTGCCCTCTGCTGGCCAGAGTCTTAACTGAACAAAATTGTTTATTTTTTTCACCTGAATTGGAAAACGTAACAAAACAGACAATACGAGCCTTTAAGAAGTGTTTAGGTTGACATATTTTTACAGAGCCTTGCAAAAGTATTCAAACGGCATACACCTTTTTTCATTAGGTTATGTGCAGATTGATCCCATTCTTCTTTGTAAAATAGCTTACAGTCACATTACATACAAAGGGTCTGTTAATAAATCTTCAACTCTCACTATTGATTGTCAATTTGATTTAGATTTCAACTTTGGCTGGCCCATGGTAATAATTATTTTTGCTTTGAATTCCCACAACTTTAAATAATATAAATCTAACACTGACAGAGAGCCTTCGTTTTATAGTTGATGTACACCAGGGAGTCAGCTGAGTAATGTTTAGTTGTTTATTGTTTTATTGCATAATTTCAGCCCTTCAAGCAAGTCATTCCCGTAAACTATTATCATTTCAGAGTATGAAGAACTACTTTCATATTAGTTTGTTGAACATCTTATTGTCCTGCGGTCTGTTCAACCAACTGCTATAGACTTGTTTATGTCCAGGAGTCGGCCAAAAACCAGGTTCAATTTGTTTTAGCAGGCCAACAGCTTATTGCTGCTTTCATATTGCAGTTTAATATGTAACTTAACCCCCAGTGTTTTTTGTTAAATTGCTTACAGTTGGCTTATCAGTCTCACTGTTCTTATTGTTAGTTTCAGTCAAGGAACTGGTTGAGCAATTCTTTCCACCACTTGCCTGATTCCCAAGAACACTATGTCAACATCCATAAAAGTCATACATTTATGATGAGATTTATCAGATTATATTATCTCAGAATCATGATGTTTGTCCTTGGAGGATTTTGGTATTTATAACGTCTGTTTACCGAATTACATCTCAAGTGTGTGAGAAAGAATAAATGGAAATAAAACTTGCAAAATATGAGTATGGTTATACTGTGTGCCTTAAATTTCTGTGCAACCAACCAACCTGCAAGCAATATATTTATAGATGAAACCGAAAGTTTACATACACTTTATTTTGTTTTAGGTCAGCTAGAATTACCAGATTTATTTCTATTTGCTAAATGCCACAATAACAAGAGAAAGAATAAGTTAAATTTATTTTTGAATTTCTTCAAAGCCCTTTAGTTTTTGGTAGCAACTCCTTTGAACGGCATAACTAGGGTCAAACATTTTGGGATTCCTTACAGGATCTTCTACCAATAGTTAGCTGGAGTTCTGGCCCATTCCTCCTGACAGAGCTAGTAGAACTGAGTCAGTTTGGTAGGCCACCTCACTCACACACACACCAGGTCTACAGACTGAGATCAGGGCTTTGTGATGGACACCAAAACATTGATCACTTTACGAACATTGTACATTTTAAAGACCCATTTATGCAGTTTTCATTTCCTGGTTAACGCCTTTAGACAGTCTTTGTCAACATAATGTCTTTCCTCATGATGTAATCTAGTTTATAAAGTGCACCATCTCCTCCTGAAGCAAACAGACCCTCAACATGATGCTTCCAGCCCTATATAATACAGTTGGTATGGGGTTCCCAGGTTTGCATGCGTGCCCCCTCTTCCTTCCAAATGTACCGATGGTCATCACGGCCAAACAGTTCCACTTTAGTTTCATCAGACCACAGAACACACCTCCAACAAATACAGGTCTTTGTCCCCGCTGTGTGCACTTGAAAAACTGTAATCAGTTTTTTTTGGGGGGGAAAGGGGGTTACCATTTTCTCTTTGGTTCTTTTGTTGTAATTGCTTCCTCTTTAACAAGCAATGTTTCAGCCCATGATTTTTCCCTGTGGACTTTTCTGAGTGGACATTGACATTCTCTTACCCCATCCAAGCCAGCGTCATCACAAAATCTTTGGCTTTTGTCCTGGAGTCAGTTTGTACAACATAGGTTTTTATCACTGTCAGTAGGCAAAACAGGAATGCAATGCAATACATTTGTACGAATAAGGAAAAAAAGAACGTGGCTCAAATGCATAAAAGTAAGCACAAAATATATACAATTTTTTTTAAAGAAAGTTTTATTAACATATGTAAAAACCAAAACATAACATTACAATGCAAATTTCTAATATCTAAGAAGTATACAGCTTAACCTAAAATCTACATTTTGTACCAATTCAGTTATTTTTTAACACTCATTTCCTAATCACTGCAACTCATCTTTGGATCTTCCAGATTTAAAGATTGCAGAAAGTATTAATTTTACTGCCTGTCTTAAAAATGCAGTACTTCCTTACTAGACTGTTAACACTGACCGACAAAACCAGTTAAGCACCAAATGAAGGATTTAGAAAGGATGCTTCTATAAACAATTCAGTAAGCTGTAAAATGATCTGGAATATCCATGCAGTAAATAAAAAGTGATTTCATATGATCAAATTCCAAACAAAGGTGCATTCTTTTACAACACCTTAAATCAGGGGTCACCAACTCCAGTCCTCAAGGGCTACCATCCTGGAACTTTTAGATTAGATTCACTTCTGCTCCAAAATGTCTGAATTCCCTCACCAGCATTCATTCCTCTGTGCAATAGGCTGGAAACGAGCAGTTTATTTGATCCAGGTGTGTTTGAGCAGAGGCGCATCTAAAGTTACAGGATGGTAGCCCTGGAGGACTGGAGTTGGTGACCCCTGCCTTAAATGATGGAGTCATGGGTCAAGGGAGATGATGCAGGAAGTTACAATAATGACAGAGAATACTTAACGTCAAATGAGCCATTTGACTTTAAATTGAGTTTAATGGCGGATGGCATTGTGAAATTACATAAAGCCAGGTGCCAAAAATTATGTAACTGTACAGCAGGAGAACCTTACAAATGTAAGGTACTGAATGCTGGCAAAAATAGGGTGCACCAAGGTCTCCTCCTGTCGTAAGGAATGATGCAGAATATTGGCAGCCGGTTTTATGAGAAACCAAAATGGAACCCCAATCAAACTCCTGCCAAACGATCCATCTAAATTTAGTCACTGTTTTGACCATCACATGGTCAGATTACTGGTGTATTACATTTCGGTTGTAATAGTAGCACCTGTACTCAAATACACGAGTATACACAAGTATGCTCAAGTTCCGATAGAAGATGACCTTCATTATTAAATTGTGCTCAACTAGTTTTGCCAGTGAGTAAATATAAATAAAAAATAAAGTAATTTGTTATATCAAATTACCAGGTTGATATCATGGACTGATATCAACCCGTATGACTGATCATAACTAGCAAAACTGACATAACCTAAACACAAGGCTGTATTGGTAAGTTGTCTTACCTGTTCATCATGAGGGTGCTCAGCTGCCTTTGGTGTAATCCTGAACCCGCATGCAAATAAATTAGCCTCTGCTATTAAATGTTCACTGCCTCTTCGTTCCTTTGTTGTTTTTTTGGGGGCGTTTCAAATAGCAGCATTTTGGCATAGACAGAAGGGGTAAGTTGGGCATTTTGCAGATGGAAAGAGTAAACTTTGGGATCTCACAAGAAAGACGGCACATTCTTTATCTAACACACCGACGTTGACAAGGTTATTTGTAACGCCAACAAGTAAGACAGTGCCTATAAAACGTATTTACCCCTACGATGTTTTATCCTTTTGGTTGTTTTTAAAAATCAATCCTGATCAAAGTTGTTTTTTTTTTTTCTTTTTAGACAAAAACTTAGCAAATAACCTCCCCCCAGCCCCATTCATCCATTAGAAATTGACGACATAAATCTGCTTTACATAGAAACAAAAGATTTACAGTATTGTTTGAGAATTTAGTGTTTTACTGACATGACGGAACAAACGTGCAGACTACAATTCTGTTCGAGGGCCAAAGTTTTGACGTTATTATGTTGCAGGCATAATTTAGGTTTGTCAGACTCACATAAATCAAAATCATTTAAACGATGCAAAAAAATAAAGAAACTGAAACATACGATGCGTTTACTCAGACGTCAAAACAATTAAAATACTACTAGTAGTATTATTCCCAAAAAAATGTAAAAGAAAGAAAACTCTCCCAAGTTAAAACAAAAAGAGACGTCGACGACGCCGGTGTGGTTCTTCTTGTAATCATCAAAGGACTACAAGACGCGCCAAGTCGCAGCGATGAAGAGATAGAGATGCGTGCATCAGGAGGCGCCGTGCCGCAACGCAGTCGGACAAAATTCCTGAAAAAGAGCAAATTACAAAATGAACTATCTGCAAATGTGGAATCAAAGCGCGCAGTTTCATCACAGTTTTTCCTGCCTTCTGAGGTCAGAACCTTAAAACCTGCCCGACAGTCAGAAATTTTACGTCATAGCTTTGAATGTCATATTAGGAATGTTCAAGCAAATGCACTGACTAGAATCCAAACCACTCAGACACAGAAGTCTGCCTCTACCTTTAGAGGTACGTAATGCATTTTAAACCGGGATGTGAAGACGACTTTATCTCTGATCTATGCTCACCTTCAATTGTCAATATGCATAACGTGCAGGTGGCGGAGGCAGCCTGCCTGCATAGGGGTCCATTGCGCGTGGAACGCCATATGCAGGGGCCCGGGAAACAGGAGAGAGTCGAGAGCGCTCATAAGCATAGCCGTTACTGGGCGGAGGGGGCAACGGTGCGTTAGGAGCCCTCCTGATTGGGCTGCGATCTCGTGCGTAGTATGATGAGGGGGGAGGCGGAGGGGGAGGAGGGAGGGGCCGACGCTCATAAGGATTAATCGGTGAGGTCAGAGGGCGGTCTCGAATGACAGATGAGGGCGGAGGCGGAGGAGGTGGGGGTATAGCACGTTGCTCTTCATAAGGAGATCGGGCATACTGACGAGCTCGGTATTTCTCGTAATAATCTACTACACTGTATCGCTCCCTTTCGCTGTCATAGGGCCGCTCTAGATAAACTGACCGCCTCGGGGGAGGGGGTGGCAGAGGAGGACCTGGGTAACCAGGGGGCATGGGGCGAGCCCTCAGGTAGCCGGGTGGGGGAGGCTCAGGCCGCTCTCCTGGATAGTGTGGAGGCCAGTAGCCTCCCCTGTCAGGGGGAGGAGGTGGGTAGTCTTCACATTCTTCATACCTAGGTCGGCTCTTAGAAACCTGAACATGGATGTGTTTGTCTACAAAAAAAAAGATAAAGGACAGAGATTACATGGAGAGTTTGATTTTTGAAATACATTTTACTTTCTGGCCACTTCTAAATGTTTTTTCCTACCTTGAAACTCAGAGTTATCTAGTTCTTTCATAGCATCCATGGCCTCATCATAGTTGGGCATGTGCACAAAAGCAAAATTCTTGACAACAGCACACTCTGTGACCGTACCGTACTCTTCAAACAGAGCACGGAGTTCGTCATCAGCTCCTTTTTCTACATTGGCTACATGTAGTTTCACCGGGCCCTGGTTCTTCCCGTGACTGGCCTCGACGTTGATCGGTGTGCCGTGGAGCTTGTGCTGATGAAGGGTCCTGATGGCTTTGGTGGCAGCCTTACGGTCATCCATATGGACAAAGGCGAAGTTCTTGATGATGGCGCACTCAGTGACCATGCCGTGCTCCTCAAAGAGCTCCTTGATTTCATCCTCGGTAGCTTCTTGAGGAAGGTTCCCCACAAAAATCTTCACCATTGCTGAGAATCTGTTTAGAAGCAAAACAGGATAGGAAAGTTATGTAAACTGAGGACAGAAAATACAACAGTTTCCCTGCAACTTAACACAGTAAATCAACCTTTCTCCAAATCCGAACATTAGCACTTCCAGAGCCAGGCTAAGGTGTGGAAAATGCTGGCTGAAACCCAGAGATCATAGTCTGGATACGAAACCAGCAGACTGCTCTCTGTACTACGTGAGGGTGAGGAAGGGATCCGACATATTATTTCAGTTAAGATTTTACTGGTTTCGTTTTTAGACCACCATTAGCGTAAGTATTGTAACTATATATTGTCTATTTGGCGTTTGTCATCTGATGTGTGATTAATTGGAGCATAACGGTGGAGTTGCGTGCGCATTTACTGCGCTTGTTAAAATCTAACCGACATCTATACTTTAATTTCTTTACTTCCTCAACAGTTAGCTGCTACTCCTCTATTTAAACTACAATATCTAGATTAATAACTTGATCGCGCATTTTCTTTAGGCGTTCTCTATGAACTGCAGGCTAAATGCGTCAGAAGCCCGAGCCACCATCAGGCAAATATCTTTATTTTTAAGCAACAGCCTTTGTTCTATATGGATTTTTATATTGCTGCACAGTGTTGTACATATTTTTTTACACCAGGGGACACAAGGAGAGGAGGAAAAAAAAATTAATACACACATTGCGTAGACGTGCATATTAAACTTGCCAAGAACATGGTTTTCACTGCTAATTACGTCGTATTAAGATCTGAAGAGTCTGGCGTGATGCCGCGTGAACTCTACTGCTTTTTCTATTGATAAGCAGTTTTCATTAAAGGCCAGTCAGCTTTAATGATTATCGCGTTTATTTCGGAAACGTAAAATCCTGAACAATAACTTGAGCCTCCCACAGCTTTACTTTAGGTTAGCCATTAAATGTAACAATTCTTACAACAAGAAAAGACGAACAAACGCTCAAAAGGAGAAACTATTGATTCGAAAACGCTAAATAAAACATAATGCAGGTATACAAGAACATATATTTTCAGTACCTTAGTACTAAACGGTCCAAACAGCCAAGCTTATCTCACGAGGTATTCTCCTCACAACTTCCGTCAAAATTGACGACTTCCGCTTCTTCCACACAACAATGTGAAGCACGCCGCGCGCTGTTGTGGAGGGTAAACGAATCTACTTTATTCATAAAAGCGACAGAAATTATGCATTAAAAATATTATAAATCACACCTTCAACCTAGTATAAGTAAACGTATAATTTTATAATTAAGGACAACGACACAGCATTTTTTTTTTATTTTGCTAATTCTAAATGTTTTATGCCAAAATTTCACTGTTGATTATCACTGGATCAATTTTTGTTCAAAAATTTGGAGCAGCCTGTTGTAGCTTATCAAACAGGCAGGATAAATCCATTGTTTCTTTCCAAGGTTATATTGAAACTTTACAGAATAACAGATATGAGAACAAAATGTTAGGCAAAACCCACAACAAACAAGCACAGACTCTTTTTTTTTCTTTTTTTTTTTAGAAAAAAGAAAAAAAAAAAGAAAAAGCACAGTATGTTTGAGCCCGCCATTACCTTAACATCCAAATTGTTTTAGCCAAAGGTGGAAGGTTGAAAATTTGGCATTTGCTTTGAAGCTTTATAACTGAGTCGACCCTGAACTGCTCTTTATTATATCAAAGGTAACTGGCGTAGGGGTGCTGAGGCGCAGGGGCAAATCACGAACCACGTGTTGAGTCCTTGGTCGTAGGTTCGATTCCCGGCCTGGTGACATTTGTCGCATGTCTTCCCCCTCTCTCGTTACCCTCTTTCCTGTCAAACTACTTTCAAATAAAGGCCACAAGAGCCAACAAAATCTTTAAAAAAAAAAAAAGGTAATTGGAGTCACATGTGAAGTTTAACTTCTGAAGTTCAATCCAGATGCTGAATAGACTTTAAAATAACCGCAAACAAACAATGCCCTCAAACATTGGTGAAGTTGTTTGTTTTGCAGCTTGATTTATGTGGAAGATGAACAGTTATCCATTAACACACCTGGGTTAATGGATAACAATTAACTTTCACAAGGTTCTCCTCCGATAAGCACTGAAGGCTGAACAATTGTGAAACTATGCAGAGATTTTCCCATTGTTAAAGGCTCCTCCAGGACAAACCAGAGCGATCATGTTACAATAAGGCCATGTACGGTAATAAAAGTTTGCTTGAAATAAAACAAACATTCTGCCCACAAAAAAACATGGTAGTGAAAAAATGAGAAAGTAGTAGGGTATTTAATAACAATAACTGTAGTTCAGTTATTCTTTGTCTTATGATGCAGTAAAAGATCCAAAAATACATATCTTAAGTAAGAAACATTTATTTATATAACATCTCCTACAGGTCAGAAACCACAAAGTCTTTTCAAAATATGACATAAAAACTGCTGGTAGGTTGACAGAGTATTAAATCACCCAAGTGAGCCTTTCAAATTTAACCTTCCAATTTTTTCATGTTGGTTGACACATAGAAATTCTCAACAACGCTATATTCAAGCTTAAAAATGTTGAAAAATAGTTTCTGTTTACTACTGCATAATTTCAAGCAAAAATACCTAATACTGCAATTTTCAAATTTACACTTGAAAGCAGCAGGTCACGGGGTTCAGGGAGGGGAGAGAATGACGAAAGATTGCAGAGCAGTCAGGAAGAGCCTTTCCTGTTTCATAAGGAGAAGCAGCGATGTTGCCCACTTTGTCCTCAGTTCGTAGTTGATCACTTTCTTTTCTGTGCGAGGGCAGACAAAAACAAAAACTTTCACTTTGAAACATTTAGCTTTCAGGTAAGACTGGACTTTCCTTCGTTGTGACTTGTTTGTATCACATTTCTTTGCTGAGGAAACCACCTCAGCTCAAGTTATCTCTGTGGCTTTGAATGCTTTCTTTAAGTTTTCTCCTCTAGCATTTTATTACTTCTAATCTCTCAACAGATTTCATCAGGATCTTTTCATCCATGACAAACGTGTCTCAGACAATGGAGACAGAGGAGGACCTCCTCACTTTACTCCACATCAAGTTTTACCACCCACAGCAACACTGTAAAGGTTTTTACGGCTTGCTTCCCTTGGGGACCAGGAGCAGACACTCTGCCGATGATCCTCTCAGGCTGGGCCGCGACGCCCAGGCCTGCACCTACTCCTTGGCTGACCCCAAGGTGTCCCGCAAACAGCTGGCCCTAAGCGCCTATCGTACACCCCAGAGCCCGGACATGCTGTTCTCCATCCAGAACCTGAGCCAGAGAGGGCAACTGTCAGTGAATGGATCGTCGCTGGGTTACCTGGAGAGAATGGACCTTCCAGACAAGGCTCTGATCCGGTTCTTAGAGTATGAGATGCTCATCGTTCGGGAGTCTGGAGAGGCAAAGACCAGTTTTGAGGTGGACATGGAGGTGCTGACAGTGCCTCCCTCCAGGGAGACATGCACCTGTGTGCCTGGAAGGGCATCAGTCATGGACACGGGTATGGTGGACCAAAACACAGCTGGGTTAAGAGAACTTGGACCTCTGGAAACTGATGAGACACTCATCTATTACAAATGATCAACAGACTGAGCCGGACAAAGCATCAAGGCATTGCTGTCCATTTGTTACAGTAAAGTTGAATTAGGTAATGATATTCATAATCTATTGTGAAATCATTAAATCCTTTTATACTTTGACTTTTGCAAATAGATAAAATACAGCTGGACCCTTAAATGTCTGCTTTCATTTTTGTAAATATGAATATTGTGGTGTTTCAATGTCATTTACTTCTGAATCATAGGTTTAAGCAATAAACTACTTTTTTACAGCATCTTTTGTCCGATATTTGTAAATTATGTTCCTGTTATAGATCCAGTTTTGAAACTTGACAGAAAAGCTGTCACCACCAGCCCCTCCTCTGAGTGTTTTAACATTGAAATCCATAAGTCACATGGCAATACTGCAACTGACGGGTCCTGTGGGGTCAAATGTAAGCCCTCTGACCTATTAGGTCAGTCTGAGAGTCCCTCAGACCATGAAGACACAAATGCTTCACTTCCAACTTACATAACATGGAGGCTTAAAAGAGCGACTCTACGGGAGGCACAAGGCTATCTGCCGGGAAAACCATCTGAAACCTGAATCCACTGAAAGGATAAGGGTGATATGGCCAAAGAGCGTGTGAAAAAGCTGTCTTTATAAGGCTTGCAGAATGTTGGACAATAATCAACTGTTCCATACAGAAGCTCAGAGCAATGCTGCCTGTACAGCTTGACTTTGAACAAAAGAACTAGTAACTATCTTGTATTTCCTTCACGCTATAAGTTTCTGGCTCTTGACCAGGTAAACATTGGAAAGCATGTGGTGTGTTTTTTTATGGGGAAATAGCTTCATTGTTGGGTTACCAAAGACAAAAGGTAAAGTTAGACAGTCTGAAGAGACAGTCTGTGAATCTAGCTTGAACTGCCATGTCTTTCAGACTGAACTCGGCAACTATAGTTTGCACTGGTTAAGTTGGACAACAAACATCCTTGTGCTGTATGAAGAGATGCTACAGGATGGAAGCTTTTTTTCACCACAACTTAAGAGTCCACCTACAGTCCTATATTGGTAACTACATCAAAATCCTGTTTAAAATGTCAATCATTTAAAATATGACTTTTAAAAAGATACATTTTCCAAAATTCTGTTAAATTGACTTTCCCAATATACCTTTAATATTGTCAAATTAAAATTTAAAATTGTTCAAAATAGCTACTGATTCTTGAGTGTTTGTTTTAAAAAAATATAAATTTTTCAAAATGAGTAATGCCTGCCTCGTCATTTCCCAAGCAGAAAAATATCTCAATTTCAAAGCTTGAAATGTATGAAGCCAAGAAGTACAACCATGGTTTTCACATGACATAAGAACGCAAAGTCAATTCTGTGGGTAAAAATACTTTAATTATGTAAATCAGAATTATAAAAAGACAAAAACTGGAATCACTGTACATTTTTGAAAGTTCTTTTTTTTGTATTGCAAATACCACTTCCAAAAATTACATTAACACATGCAAACAAAAATGTTATATTCTTACAAGTGCAAATACAGATTTTTATTCAAGTTCTTCATGCTAACTGGAAGAAAATATTAAGCTCCAAAGTAAACGTCCCCTAAAAGAATCCTATTTCCATACTGTCTTTATTCTAGCCTGAAAATTAGAAGTAATCTTTTTATTTACTGAAAAGACTTTACTAGCAACTTCATTTTACAGATGGATGACAAAACCAAATCTGATGTTGTGGGTATTTGTAAAAGATCAGTTCCAAGGCATTTTGCCATCAAATCGAATTTCCAGCGTTATTAGAAACCACATTTTATGAAATATATTCTATTTCCTGACAACGTGATGTACAACACTGCCAAAAACAGCTACGTTACCAATGGCATGTCGACAATCTCAATCTGAACATGCATAAGGGCCTTTGGACCATATCATTCCAAAAGTATTTTGTAAGGAGCACTCAAAGCTGTGATTAAAAAAAAAATTACTACACTGCTGGTAATGCCTTCTAGTGCAACTTCTAAACGTACTTCAGGCTGAACTTCATTGTTTTTACTGCTGAACACTTCAGCAATCAGAACCATGACTACCATGACGGTGCCACTATTTCTTCTGGTGGCCCTTTTAGTTCTACCAGCTTGTTAGAAATCAAATCATTTACATGATTATCTCTTCCCATCCAAACTGGACCATTTCCCATTTCCTCTGGGTTATTAAAGTTTGTGACTGAGTATATCAAACTATTCCCTGGAATGTGTTTAACTGTGACATCTTCTAATAATCCTCAACTTGGTAAGTCAGAAAGCAGAGGTTCATACAAAAACAGGATTAGCAGAAGCTTTTTCAGGTGTCAGAACTGTACTTAGCACTACAAAACACATTCAATCATAGAGGAGCTGATTCACTAGACCCACAAACTGCAGACTGATAATGTCCACTTTGTACGTTTTATCACAAGGGTTCTCGTGTTCTATGTGTATACATAAAGGTCATGAATTCAACCCTTTTTCATTACAAACTTCAGGTGTGTCCATAATGAACCAATCACAGAGATGTGGACAGTCCTAACTTCATGGCTGGCATAGACCAAGTTTTACAGTTTTTGGTGAAACTTAAAAGGCTGTGCTGGTAAACCGATACAATGAAACTAGATGTTGGGTTAGTTACGTGTGCAAAGCGGTGTACAAACTACCTTTAAAAACAATGAATTTAGTTTTGGTAAAAGACAATGTATACTGCAATGTGCCAAAGAGTGTCTTTAGAGACCAAGACTAGTTTGTTTCAGTTTTCTAGGATTAATCCTGTTGGAACTTTTCTCTGAAGCACAACACAGCTAAGTGCTATGTGCTGCCTTTACAGCACATAGCCTTTACAGCCAGCACATAGCACTTGACCACTGACTACACAGTGGTTCCATGCTACAAAGGTCATTTTGGAGAATGTCTGCTAACTTATTTGGCCATATAAGTCAGACTTGAGTCGAGTCAGGCCAGTTGCAAGAGAGGAAATCATCCATATGATGAGTGTGAAATTCCTAATACTTCCTAGATCTAATTGGAGCCTTTGACTAAATACACAGTGCTAATACATAAAAATCACAATTGCTTGAGTGTATTTTTTTTTTCCATGTCTCTACCCAACTACCATTCAGTGACTTCCTTTTATCAAACAAAGAACATGGAGGCCGTATTTACATCGTTTTGCATATTACAATAAGGTCATGTCAAGAGAGGTGCCAGATATTCCAAGAGGTAGTTAACTGATTTGGAATGTGCTTATTCATAATTTTGAATTTTTTGTGCATACACTATATTTTTAAACATATATATTTTTAAACATTTTTAAACATATAGTGTATGAGGCCCAACAAGAACACTGATGTTGATTCATATCATATAGTACACAAATCATTCAATGTCCGATCTACTGATGCTGGTATCACCTGTATGGAGTAGATATGTCTTGGGGTGGGGAATAACACTTGTTCGATATCTCGTTTTTTGTCACCCATCTGCGAAGCTGTACTACATTAATAGTAAAAACTCCTAAAGTGTAAAACTTCATTATTCAGTTTCATTCCTACAACATGAAGTCCTCGATTCCTAAAACTGATGATCTACAAAAGCAGTAAAAGCATAAACAGGTGACATCTTTCTGGTGTCAGTAATCCCTTGACTTACCTGCTGACTGTGAAGCTCCCCTACAGCCTTTGGATGTTAGTCCTGGCCCCAGGTCAACAGAGGTTTTGGCTTGGAAATCTTTGCACTAGGAAGAACTTTATGAGTTGACCCTATTTAAATTTTGATACTAAGTGGGTAAAGTCGAGTGGTACGCTGGTAAAAACTATGATCTCACAAGATCCGACAAGACGTTCTTTAATCAACGTAACGATTTACATGGTTGTGATTCGTTTGTTTCTATTGAGGAAAAGATTATTAAAAACAGCAAATAATTACAAACGGTTACAGAGGTGAAAAGGTGTTGCGCAGTGAGCATCGAGATCACATTTACTAATCAAAAATTAGTTTACCAAAAGGGAAAATTTAACAGATCTTGCAAACGCACAGTATTAATTGCGTTATTAAATGGGCAGTTACTAAGTTACTAACTTACATGTTATCCATTTACGTTTCACAGCAACGCCACAGAAGTTTGAATTTTGATGGAGAGAATTTACATGATTAATCACACGTGCAGGTTGGGGAGTAAACTAAAGCCGCCTTTAAAGGAATGCGGAGGTTATTTAGCTTTCTAAGGTCACACACAGTTTTACGCTTAATAAAACGAAAAGGTTGTTTTAAAAAAAAGAGACGCCCCATTCAGATGTTTGCCAGTAAGTATTTTACAGTACAATTCAATACTAAAACAGTCAGAAGAAGGAAAAAACATATTCTAATCACTAAAACCAAACAAACAGCCATTGACGTAAAGAATTCAGTTCCTTTTGAGTGTCGTAGAGGAACGAAACGCGCTCAGCCGCAGACAGGAAGAGGATAAAGTCACGTGAATCAGGAAGCGGCGACGCAGTCGGACAACAATCCTGAAAAAAGAGCAAATAAAACAAATGAACGATTTGCCTCCCAGACATTAACAGTACGTTTTCCATTACTGTTGTTCCCCAGTGTCCAGTACGAAGGCCCTTTTGTCAGTCAGCCTCCACACAGAACAATATTTTCTGGCGCGTCGAATCACAGTTTAAATATTTTACTAATAAAGTAATTTTATTCAAACAGTGATTTGTGAGACGAAAATTGCAGGTTTCGTCCAAGATTATCTAAAGCTGCCTCTGCCTTTAGAGGGACGAAGTGGAGAGCGAGAAAATGTATTCTTTTTTTTTTTTAACTCTGTCCTAATCTCACCTTCAAAATGCTGACGTGTCGCATTAGTATGCGTAGCGTGCAGGTGGTGGCGGAGGCAGCCGGTCCGCATAGGGGTCCCTTGCACGTGGAACTGCGTATGGAGAGCGATCGTAGGCATAGCCGTTACTGGGCGGAGGGGGTAACGGTGCGTTAGGAGCCCTCCGGATTGGGCTGCGATCTCGGGCGTAGTACGATGAGGGGGGAGGCGGAGGGGGTGGAGGGAGGGGCCGACGCTCATATGGATTAAGCGGTGAGGTCATAAGGCGGTCTCGAACGACAGAAGAGGGCGGAGGCGGAGGAGGTGGGGGTATAGCACGATGCTCTTCATAGGGAGACATGGCATACGGACGAGCTCGGTATTTCTCGTAGTAATCTACTACACTGTATCGCTCCCTTTCGCTGTCATAGGGCCGCTCAGGATAAGCCGCCCTCCTGGGGGGAGGGGGTGGCAGAGGAGGACCTGGGTAACCAGGGGGCATGGGGCGAGCCCTCAGGTAGCCAGGTGGGGGAGGCTCAGGCCGCTCTCCTGGATAGTGTGGAGGCCAGTAGCCTCCCCTGTCAGGGGGAGGAGGTGGGTAGTCTTCACATTCTTCATACCTAGGTCGGCTCTTAGAAACCTGAACGTGGATGCGTTTGTCTACAAAAAAAACCCCCAAAAAGATTAGTCCATTTCAGTTTGAAAGAGCATTACTTCATTTCTCTCATATTACTCTCTTACCTTGAAACTCAGAATTATCAAGCCCTTTGATAGCATCCATGGCCTCATCATAGTTGGGCATGTGCACAAAAGCAAAATTCTTGACAACAGCACACTCTGTGACCGTACCGTACTCTTCAAACAGAGCACGGAGTTCGTCATCAGCTCCTTTTTCTACATTGGCTACATGTAGTTTCACCGGGCCCTGGTTCTTCCCATGACTGGCCTCGACGTTGATCGGTGTGCCGTGGAGCTTGTGCAGATGAAGGGTCCTGATGGCTTTGGTGGCAGCCTTACGGTCATCCATATGGACAAAGGCGAAGTTCTTGATGATGGCGCACTCGGTGACCGTGCCGTGCTCCTCGAAGAGCTCCTTGATCTCATCCTCGGTAGCTTCTCGGGGAAGGTTCCCCACAAAAATCTTCACCATTGCTGAGAATCTGTTTAATCAAACAAAACCAACAAGACAATCGCTAAATGGGAAGTAAAATGTAATGGAAACGGTAAATATGACATTAATATAAATGATGTACAATGATCGGCATTAACACAACAAATATGGAGCTAAAACAGTCTCATAATTCACAAATGCACACATCAAGATCCACACGTGTATTTTTGATGCCAACACAAAGATATCTTGATTTACAAGCTGCTTCTGGCCTGTGAGTTGCCTGCCTTTGTGTATGAATTTTGAGACTCTCCTCTCAATCCACAAACGTTTTTTTTAATATAAATGGTCTATCTGATTGGATGATCAACAACCAATCAGATAGCAGCCAATCAGCCAACCATATAAATGGACCTCTGTTTCAGTCAATCACATTAACCCATTCCAACAGCTGTAACCATGTCGAAGCTCACTTTAGACCTCAGCCTGGCTTCTAGCAGCAACAGAGGAGCGGTAAGTGAAATATCTATCAGATTGCATATTAAGCTTTGTATAAGTTTAAAAAAATCATTTTGTGTTTCTGAAAAGTGTGACTTAAGAGAATTATTTAAAGGACCAGAACTTTATAACAATTCATAATGTACAAAAGCTATAATAGGCCAAATTATCTTGGTCTGGAGAACAGCTTCCACGCCAATAATTACACATAAGCCTGAGCAGCTACCTCAATTTGGGGCAACAAACCCCCAAACCTGTTAAACGGCTACTTTAATCACAAGAAATTCAACTTTAAAAAAAGACACTAGCCTGACACTATTGGCATGCAGAAACACTACCATAGCTCACAGTTTACAGTCGCACACTTGGATCACTTAGATCGCTAGCTTGTGTTCATAGTTGCACAATTAAATCGCTTAACATTAATAATCATAACATGGGGATAAATAGCTCAATATGTTAAGATGGATATTTCACTTACCGATCCTCTGCTGCCAGAAGTCAGGCTGAGGTCTAAATCGTCTGTGCTTACACACGGCTACAGGTTACCCCAACCTGAGGGTCCGTTCATATGATTGACTGAAACAATGAAGCTATCTACTGGTTGCTGATCGTCCAGATGGACCATTTATTAAAGATAAATAAATAAAAAAGAAGACATTTGTGGATTGAGACGACAGGGGAGTCTAAAATTCACACACAAATGCAGCCCAGCTCACAGGCCAGAAGCAGCTTGTAAATCAAGACATATTTAATTTATGTTGGCATCAAAAATACAAGTGTGAATCTTGTTCTTTTCGTTTGTGGATCTCATTCTGTGCATTTGTGAATATCATTCTGTGCATTTGTGAATCTTGATCTATGCATTTGTGAATTATCAGACTGTTTTAGTTCCATAAGCTCGAGCTATTAGCTAGCACCTTGAACCCCGCAGCCTCACTAAGACGAAATGTCAAAGGACATTTCACGGGCCAGCTGAGTGCGTTTGCTCGACGCCAGACAAACAGCTAGTAATAATAGCATGTAATTATAGCAATTAATAATAGAAACCACAAAAAAAAAAACTTTACTCACGGATCCAAAGACGACCTGAATAGAATGAAATATATTTTGTGGAACGTTCTACCCACAACTTCCTGTTAACTACGTCAAGAGGAAGATGTCAGAAATGCAGCACCATACCGCCATCTAGAGTGCAGGATGTTAAAGTCCACTTTAAAGATGGCTAGCAGGGTGGTTCTGAAATTTCATGTATAACAAGGACCACATCAGTAAATTCCAGGTTTTACAAGTGCCTCCATCTTGAAAGATGACACAAACAGAAATAATTGAAATTTCTTAGATTGGTATTGCTTAAGAGGTTTAATTTGTATTCAAACCTGGACAGAGAAGTTAGCTGAAAGGTCTGTAAAAGTAATCATTTTCCATCACCTGGGGTAGCGCCACAAAGATTTGTAGCACACCAGCTCCAAACCATGAAGCTCTCTAAGGTTCAGAAGAGTAAATAAGTAAAAATAACACAATTAAAAGTTTGAAAAGATCTAGTTAAAGAGTAATATTAACAATTTGAATCTTGAAACATGACCTTAAGCTTAAACGGTTTATTAATGATAAAAACTAATTCAGCCATAATTAAGTAAAGTCAATAAAATGGGACATTGCCACCAGGTGTTTGCTAATTGCTGCTGGCTAGTCTGAAGGAGCTGAGTGAGGGAGGGTTGCGCTGTGTGGGAACCCTTCCTCACACAGAGCAGATGCTGGGAAACTGCTTCTCTGAGAAGGAGCTGTGTCTGAAGGCAGCTTTGGGTCCACCCAGGCATTTTGCACAGATGAATAGTTGCCATGGGAGATTAAAGGATTTCTCAAGCATACATGAAAGATTTGAGGCCGCAGGCCAGGTATGTTTTTGACGAGGGAATAACATTGTAACTTGATGTAGAGCTCAAAAAAGATGATTTTTACATGATACTGATTTACACTTGAAACAATGTTGTCATTCCAACATTTGGTTTCACAAGAACCATTTTGTTGAAACTTGCCACACTTTCTCAACTAGCAGAGAGGGTGTCATGTTTTCACTGCTTGAAAAACAAAACTGAAGTTGTACAACCAGTCGACAGCCCAGTTTTAGTTGTAGCCTGGGTAATTTAGATTTGTTTGCATTTTAACTATCTGTTGTCATTTTAGTCTTAGTCAATTTAATTTTCTGTTGTTTTATTTGAAAAAATATGAATTCCAAGAATAATGCCTGTTCAGGTGATCCAGTCTTTTTAAATGGCTAAAAATAGGATCTGATGGGATATCTGATTGGATATGATCTTATTATAATATTTTTTTATTAATTTGTTGACAAAAATATCAGTCATCACATCATAATTAACACCACTTTAATGTACTTTTTTTAGTTTTTATACTATTTCTAGTTATCTTCCAAAGATTGACAGTTGAACAAAATACTTCATAGTTGTGGTTGATGATGTAAACAGTATATAGCAGTCTGTTAATCAGTAACAGTTCATCTATACAGAAGTAGCTTCCAGAATAGCAAATGTGAAACCAAGACATGACTTCCTCCCTGTTTAAAGTTGCAACAAAAAGGAATTTCCAGTGCTCTGATGGTGCTTTCAAGGTCCTACTGTAAAAATGTGTTCTAGCAGAACACATAAGAAAAGTGTTTTTGGTTTGTTTTTGTTAGGTCACTAGACTCGGTCTCTAATGTCTTTACTAGACATGTGGATGTTTTATTTTACAGTCTTCTGATACAGACTTTTTTTTTTTTTCTCTCTCAGGTAATTTTAAAGCCTAACGTGGAAAACAATCCACCCCAGTCACTCATTTTTTACATCCCCAGAAACGGTGATACATGGACAACCTGTTTTACAAGGTTGTCCATGTGTCCAAACAGAATACGTTCCTACTATAAGTATCCCTTGCAGTAGGAAAAGCAGGAACTTCAGACTCGTATGTGAAAGCACCATGGCTACAAATGGGGCGTGTGAGATGACTCTGGAGACTACAAGAGAAATGTTTACAGAACTGTGGCAGGAACAAAGAGCCTGGAGTCATTGCCAGTAGCTACTCAGACAGCAAATATTTTCTTCTCTGCGAAAAGTGGGAGTCTGTCTACATCTTTATTTGAAGAAAAAGCTTCCAGGTAGGACAAAATATCTTGGTTTGACGATGAAAAGCACCCTACATTGTTTATATATAAACACTTTACAGTATTTCATGACTTCAAATCTCAACAGATTTTCTCAAGATCTCTTCATCCATGACAAACGTGTCTCAGAGAATGGAGACAGAGGAGGACCTCCTCACTTTACTCCACATCAAGTTTTACCACCCACAGCAACACTGTAAAGGTTTTTATGGCTTGCTTCCCTTGGGGACCAGGAGCAGACACTCTGCCGATGATCCTCTCAGGCTGGGCCGCGACGCCCAGGCCTGCACCTACTCCTTGGCTGACCCCAAGGTGTCCCGCAAACAGCTGGCCCTAAGCGCCTATTGTACACCCCAGAGCCCGGACATGCTGTTCTCCATCCAGAACCTGAGCCAGAGAGGGCAACTGTCAGTGAATGGATCGTCGCTGGGTTACCTGGAGAGAATGGACCTTCCAGACAAGGCTCTGATCCGGTTCTTAGAGTATGAGATGCTCATCGTTCGGGAGTCTGGAGAGGCAAAGACCAGTTTTGAGGTGGACATGGAGGTGCTGACAGTGCCTCCCTCCAGGGAGACATGCACCTGTGTGCCTGGAAGGGCACCAGTCATGGACACGGGTATGGTGGACCAAAACACAGCCTGGCCTGAAGAGACTGAAGAGACTCTCATCTGTTATTCTAACTGAAAATTACCAACAAACCGATATGGACTTTTTAAACAGCATGGTATGTCTGGGATGATATTCACTTTTTCTACTTGTATTGTATTGAGCCATATGTCATGAATATAAGAGTTAAAAATGTAGCAGATTAAACTCTTCCAGTTTCCATAAAATATTACCTACATCTAACTTGTATTCATTCCAAATCTTGTACAAATCACACATATTGCTCAGGGATTCCATACAGCACCTTGACCAACTCTTAAACTTGTTAAATCAAGTTTTTCTAGAGCTTTTAAGAGATAAAACCACATTCCTTATCTTTAGGCTCAGGTTAGTGAGCCTGTAGCCTCACTGTAATCTTTAGTGATGACCTTTAGAAAGCAACACAGTATCACTAGAGATGGGAGTAATTACATTACAGCTTTAGTTAACATACAAGAAAATGCACTGGAAGTTTTATTCTGAATAATTAACTTTGAATATCTAATTGTAAAATTCTATAACATTTCCTCCTGCATTTTAAAGTAAACCCCATTAGCTTTCAATCAATACAAAATTCTGCTTCTGAATATTTACTTTTCTTACAATACCTTTATTTAGCTAAAATAAAACCAATAAAATTGAGCAGCATAGAATGAAACTGACAAGAGGTGTCCGTTCCATTAATAGTACAAGCCAGTTATGTCTGGAATGTGTTCCACTGTGAAAAGCTGCTGAGCACAAAAACTAAGAATGCAAGCAACGTCCAGAAAGAGATGAACTTTAATAGTTTCCTTGATAAACAGATTTTACCAAAAGAGGAACTGGGAAAAAAGCAACTGTTCCACTTTTAGTCACACATGAGAATTACGGTAGCTTCAATTTCAGGAGGAAAACTGCCTTTGTGATCACATTACCAATTAGCACCACATCCAAAAACATTGACCAAAACAAATTCAATGAAATGTTACAGTTCAAAGTGGGTGAGGAAACTGTTTATATTAACATTTGAATATGAGGCTAAACTTTTTACACTGGTTATCACATTTTAAATGAGCAAGTTGTGTTTGTATTAACATCTTGTTAAAACTTTACAAGTGTTGATTTGTATTATTTCCAACTTCAAACATTTGTAGAAGAACTATTTTCTTGAAACGGGGACAAAATAAAATACAATTTTCAGTAATTAACATACAACAAAAAGCTAAGAAAATTCACAGTAGGAATCTTTGACACAAAGTGTGAGACATGATTTTTCTTTACAGTATGATGTCACAAGAGATTAAAAAACTTGTCTTCCACAGCCTTTCCCTGAACTCATCATTTTGCAAATAGGCGATGCAGGTTTTCTGGAAGCTTGGGGAAATTCCTTTCCAAATGGACCAAACTCCCACTGGACAAGCAGTTCTCCTGTTGAATCCAACCGGTTCAGTCAGGCATTTTATGTTTCTAAACAGCAGACATCATGTACAGTCATGTCTAAAAGTTTCAGCAGTGACACAAACACTGAAATCACTCGGTCTAGTTAGCCTAATGATTGCTATAAAAAGAAAACAAATAAATCACCTTCTCACATTTGCAAATAGAACATAAAGCACTTATGACATTGCCTCTTAATGGCCTAATATGTGAGGAGACACTACCAAAGCTCCACAGCGCCACCATGTGGGAAGAGCTATGTGATCTTCACAGGGAGAAAATCGACAGCATTAGACTCAAAGGCTACATACACTGCACCACTGTTTTCACTGGTTTCTTTAACAAAATAAATGCTGCTAAACTTTTAACCTTTTACAGCCCAGAGGTTGTAACAGCTATCAAGAACTAAAATGTTCCTTCTCAGTTTACTACAGATAAATGTATATATAAAAAATTTAAAACTAAAATAAGAAGTCACTGTCACTGCTGAATCTTTAGGCAACGACTGGAGATGAAATATTCCAACTCAAGATGCCTTACCTCAGAATACTGACCAATCTCATATTTTCTTTGACTGTCAGTTATCTTGGAACCATTTTTCCAATCAGTAAACAAACAAATCTGTGGGAAAAATGCACAGAAGGTTTAATAAACTTCCAGATTTAAATTACGAAGAGAATCGTGCAGTTTTTTTGTTTTTGTATATGTATCTACATTACAGGCCAAACATTTGAAAGTAAACACAAGCCAAATAATTAAAGCAACTTCAAGTTTCGGTTCACAGTGCCTTTCTTAAAGATCAGCTCTTAGAATGAAGCCTCTTCTGCAGTGGATGTGCAACAGTCAGGAAAGAGCAACTCCCTTCCAGATTCATGTTGGACAACCTGAGGGCTCCAGTTGGCATAACTTTTTAACAATTCAGCGACAGAGCAAGGTACTTGACCATATATGATTCTGAAATTTAAAATATGCTGCTCAAAAAAATAAAGGGAACATTTCACTTTAATTTTGTGTGTGGCTCCAAATCCAGGCCTCCATTGGTTAATAAATTTGATTTCCATTGATTTTTGTGTGATTTTGTTGTCAGCACATTCAACTTTGTACAGAACAAAGTATTCAATGAGAATATTTCATTCATTCAGATCTAGGATGTGTTATTTGAGTGTTCCCTTTATTTTTTGAGCAGTGTAAATTATAAAATCAAATGCTTGGCCAGTGCAAAAACATTAAAACAGGAGTTATGTGTCATTCTCCTCTAGGAAAACACTAAATTATACAGTTGGAGTTAAAAAGATTGCCAAAGCCATAAATGCCTGATATTTACAGAAAAAATGTCTATTTATCCATCATCTTCTGCTTATCAGAGACTGGATCAAAAGATTAAAAGGTCCAGGAAGGAAACCCTGACTTCCCTCTCTAGGTCATGCTAGTTCTCCTAGCATGATAACTCCTACATACAAACACCCACACCACATCATTTGAATCTTGTAAATACAGAGCTGTTTTTACAAGAGTCCTCTCCTCATACTCTCTAAAAGAAACCAGCTATCCTTCAGTGGAAGCCATTTGACGAATCAAGATCAAAATTTCATGACCACAGAGGGTTGAGACACAGACAGCTTGGCTTTTTTGCTAAGGACTTGAACTACTGCCAAAGAGGCCCTAATCCATTTATCACCTGGTTCATCATACATCAATAATGAAAAAAGTACCAAGAGCCACTGGAGGCAAAGCTGGACTCCCGACAGCACAATCCATCTTCTTTCTCAGAACTTATCTAGGACACTGATGGGAGTTTTCTGGACAATGACAAATCTTTAAAAACTCTGACATTCCAATTTTGATCATACATGTTTTTTTGACTCAAGTCACTGTTGGCAACAGCGACTATTGTTAACCGCATACATGCAGACATGACCTGGTGGATGACAGTGTAGTAAAACAAGTGTCTTCAAACACTATGTGACTTTGCTTTCAAACATTTGACCTGCAGTATATAATCTGTACAGGTAACAGTTTTGAGACATTTACCTGAGTCTTCCTGCTTGGCATCAGGGAGGACTTACCCAGGGCTTGCTTCTCCTGCAGATGGTTTAAGCACCTACAAAGAGCACAGACACCAAGAATACCAAAGATGCAAGCCATCTGATTATGTAGTTACGAGATGTTCAGGCTCAAAGACAGTAATGGAGAGGGGGACTGGTGGGAAGGAGGTATTTAATGAAATGGGGAAAGGGAACTCAGTTGATTCAGCAATTAGTCATAATGGTAGATTAGAAGGCCACCCCTAAAATGATCAATGCCTAGCAGGTAAAGTGGGAAGAGTTGGATGCTGCAACCGGTGCGCCAAGAGGTTCGACCGAGATAAACCAGGCTTGATTTTTCGTTTTTGAATCTAAGCAAATGGCTGAGAAACTTCTCCATCCACAAACGTTGCACTAATTAGTTCAGCAAAACCGGACAATTTCAAACCTTCTTCTAAGTTTTAACTGAGGCTTACAAAATGCGGAGCACTGGGGAAAAAAATGTCAAGTAGGAAGCTGAGTGTAAAGAATAAAAGTGAAAGCAGTGCCACGCCTAGTTTCAGCTGCCTACCAACCACAACCAGGAATAATTTCACAGTTAAATACTGACTTTGTTTCCATTTGTTTATTAAAAGTCTTTGAAATAAAAAGCAACCTGAAAAGTAAATACAGTTCACACAGAACGGGCCTACGGATTATATTTCCGCAAGAAAATTTAACAAAGTGTAAAAAGAAAAAAAGTAAATCACACTGAATTTTTTTGAGGTCGTTTCAACAAGTGTCGCAACTTTTTACGATTTTTGAACAACCGTCCACACTCTGTATTATATTCAAGCACTCCTTAACTGATTTTAAATTACTGAACATTTTCTAAATTAACCAATAAGCTAATAGTAAAACTAGTTTTGCTGGTAAACACCACAGGTTGTAATGTAAAGGCAATCCCTTGTTATGAAAATATACCAAGTTTTCCCAGAGACTAATAAAAAGATTGGAACAGAGAATGGTTTTCGGTCATCAACTATAGATTAATGCGTCACACTCCATACACTCTCAAAAGCTGTTCTACTGAACACTTTCAGAATATCGAAGAAAACAATTTGAGGAACACAAAAGTTCATGAACAGCTCAGGAAAAAGAAACGCAGAGATGGAGTTGTATGTTTTTAAATACGAGGCCGTCCGCAATATCTTCCTGTAAGCCTCAGGCGAACGCAACGACGTGCTGGGTGTATAGCGCCACGTGCGTCAGCAGACGACGATCTTGTCATATTCTAAAAACCTGGAAAGAGAGCACACGACACATGTCAAAGCGCATTCTGAGAAGAAGTCGCGCAAAATTTTTTTGTATTGTTTTAGTATTTCAAGCCTCAAGCAGCAACTTGTACGCTTTGTTGTTGTATGTTTTTGGTTGTGTATTTAATGGCTGAAGAGTCACAGGGATTTATAGCTTTAGTTGATGGTAGGGCTGGACAATAAATCAATAATATATATCGCAATAGACATGTGATCAATATTGATGGCTAATACATCATACTGATGCATATTCAATATGCAATATTCACTGAACTCCCACCTAGAACTGCACAGCATTCTGGAGGATGTAGGCGGAGGAAAGACTTTAGCTGCTCAACCTCTCACAGGTTGATGGCATCAACAAACTCACCCTTTGGTTACCTAGCAACAACTTGTTGTGTAATTTGTGCAGCAACAGTTTCATCACTGTGCCTCACAACTGCTTAAAAATAAACGGTGTGGAGTG